GTCGGCCAGCCACATCTGCAGAGGGCTGGGACGGAAGGGCACAGGCACACTTGTTCAGCAGTGAGGTGGGACAGAGTAGGGGCTGCCTAGCGAGAGATCTGGAACCTTCTGAAACCGCATGCAATAAGATTACATGTATATAAGGATGCCCTTTATAAGGGACAGAGGTAAGCCTTCATTAGTCTCAAAGGTAATATGAGCCTGGAAAGGCTAAGAAGGCACTGGGCTGGAGGGAAGGAAGAGGCTGAGAATTGGTGGTGTCAAGTGAGCAGGGGCCGCGGGTTGACCTGTTTGGCTGCAGCATGCTGCCGTTCCTGTTCCTGCTCCCGTCCTTGAGCCTGCAGCTCGTGCTCCATGTGCTGGATGTACCGAGCCAGGCAGTGGCAGTGGAAATAGTGGTAACAGGGTGTTTTGGTAAAGGCCTCCTTCTCCTAGAGGGAGTGCACTAAGTCAAAGCTCTCTCCCGAGCCCTCCACTGCCCGTCCCAAGCAGACCCCAGGTCCCAGGAGGGAAACTCACCTGGAAACCATAGAGGCAGATGACGCACTGACCATGGGGGATATTGTTATCTGTGAGAATCTCCTTCCCTTTCTGAGCGGAGAGAGGACACTGATCAAACAGGGATGCATGGGCCAGAACTGTGAGCAAAACTTGTCTATTACTCCCAGGAGTGACTGGCTGGCCAGTCTCCCACTGAGCCAGTTTGCCTTGTGTTCATGTATTTCTGTCTTGGTGATGCTTCCTTGGCTTGGAATCTTTCCTCCTCCACATCTCTGCCCTCCCCCCAAATCTGTCCAGCTGCAAAATCCAATTTAATTGTTTTTTGACTCAGTAAGTCACCTTTAATACATCTTGGAGATGAAAATATACCTTAAATGAGAAAAAAAAGTTCAATTGAAACGTTTTGGGAGGCCTTTCTTGGTTAACCCTCTTTTGAGTATCACCTCCCCAATGAGCCTGTTCTGGAGTCACCTATTAGAAAGGAAGTGAAGGCATGGACACCCCAAACGGACAGAGAATTCAAAAGGCATCAGGTTGAGCTATGAAATATGCATTTGTGCTGCTGTTGGAATAGCTAATACTCTGGAATTCCACGAAGTTCAAAGCTGCATCATGGAGGCCTGACTCAGGAGTGCTACAGTGGTCTATGCCCCCTCAGACTCCAGGCCATCCACCTTTGACCTTTTCTGAACATTTTTCTTGAAAACTCAATGGAAAAACAAGACTATTTGTGTTTGTGATCTCAAAACAAAAAAGTCATCTATGTACATGAACCTGTAGCTCTAGGTGTTGTTTCATGTGGGTTGTTTCCTTCACTAGGCTAGAAACTCTTTGAGTAAAAGAACCATGACCTTTTCTAGCCAGCTCCAATGGCAGACTAGTCTTTAAATGTTCATTTATGGCTAGACCCTCTAGGCAAGATCCGTATCTCTTGCTACTTTCAGTTGCCAGAGCCGAGAGAACAAGAAATGCACTCAAACTGAAGCAAGACAGATCCACGTTAAGGAGGAAAAGTAATTTTCTGTCAAGATGCTGGAACAGGCAACTTGGAGAAGCTACAGAATGGTCTTTTGGGGAGATTTTTGAAACATAAGAAAGTCTCATCTTTCTGGATCAGTTTAGGCCTTACCCGAAAAAGAACTAAATGAATGTCTCCAGATATATTTAAGATTCTAGGCTCATAGCCTCCCTTGGGAGAAACTGCTCTAGCTGGAAGGGAAGGACATTTCCCCAGGCTAGCACACCTCTTACCTCGATGAGTTCATAGAGCATGGCAGTACCCAGCCCAGCCTTAGCCACGTGGCTCAGTGCCTGTGAGATCCTGGAGGAAAAGCACAAAGCATACATCAGGCCTGCCCCCTTCCCTCACCTCACTGAGCTGTATCCCAAGTACTCCCTGCTCTGACCAGCCTTACTTACTTGTGGATCTGTTCATCTGAGAGTCCTCGGGGGTTACGGATAGAGATCTCTGGCACCTCATATGGATACTAGAGGGAGAAAATAATCAAGTTACTGTGAAGCACTGTACTCCAAGGCCTCTCCTCTTCCTCTGCCATGAAGTAGAGGCCTCACCTGTGCTGGGACCTGAAGCACCAGAGTGAAGCAGACATACTGTGAATCCTGGTCTTCTGCAGTGGCAGGGTGCAGGGTGATGCAGATCTCCCATGGTGACGATCTGCAGGTGGATGGAGTGGAGACCTGGGATGTGACTGGGCGGGGACTTGAGGGCTGGGGAGGGTGGGGGTGAGACAGTCAAGCGAGCAGATGAAGTAAGTATTGGACTCTTTCTTTTGGGGAAATTAAAGGAATAATTCTGTCTACATGACAGAAATATTATCTCTAAATCAAGGCTCACAGATACTGCATGGTATTCTCTTATTACTAAGGGGACTCCCGCCCACCTCTAGGTGAATACGTACCTGCCATTTCCTTTAACCACTTGTAGTTCATCCAGATAGATAGACTCTAACACTTCAACTTCCGAAGGAAGGACCCTAGAGAGAAGGGGGAGATTGACTCACCATTTTAGCTCTCCCTATTAAAGCCTAGTAAGGCTTTGCAGAAAAATGGCATTCTGCCTGAGTGTGTTCTCTTGCTAATCTCCATAAAAATGAGGGACACGTGTTTCCTTAAGTAGTCAAGTGGCCAGGGAGGAAGCATGGGACTCAAGAACTTTAGAGATCATTTCTGCCATCAGATGAGAAAATGGATTCCCAAGAGGATGAAAATGACTAGCCCAAATCTCAGGGATTAACAGGGGCAGAAACGGGTCTAGAGCTAGGTTTCCTGACACCCTGTATAAGTTTCATTGCACTGTTAGCTGTTCCTTAGTGGTCATCTCTCTGATCCAGAAATATGATGTTCATTGATTAGCATTAAGTTTACCAATATCACTCCTGACTTTCCCTATACCACCATTTGTGGATCCCAGTGTGTATACACACTGCCAATACCAGGCACAGTAAACCTTCTCAAAGGAGATACCAATCTGAACAGAACAGATCTATGTGTGGTATAAAGGCTGTGTTGTAGTGGTAGAACCATTAGCCTCAGATTCAGTAATAGGTACCAATCACTTACCAGCTATGTGATCTGAGTACTTACTTATATCTATAAGCCTGAATTACCTTGTCCATCATATATAGATAATACCACCTACTCTCCAGGGTTATAGTGATGAAATCTAATTTGTTTATAGTATTTTAGCCATAGTACCTAGTTTATATCTTTTTTCCTATTTGTTTAACCTTCTCCCTTAAAAGAAAAGCAGGAAGGATGTAGTCAATATCTGATGTATTTCTGACCCTTGCTGTCTGGTTGATCTAGATCAGCCTGTCCAAGTCAGGATCCAGTGGTCCTGATATAAATCAGAGGACACACGTTTAATCACAGAAGCAGTAGCTGTAATGACATGGAAGATGAGTGACTGTCTTGAGTCCACAGGTCTACCCAAATACACGGAAAGCTACATGCTTGGTTTGCTTTCTCATAGTTATACTGTCCCTTCTTCACCAGGAGCAAGGCTGCCCTAGCATGACGCACATATATATACAGATTATATATAGTGGTTCTCAAAACTTTAAGTCTTAGGCAGACACCTCAAAATATAAAATAGATCACAAAGATAACAGGGGAGTTCTGGTTGACATAAGCGTCAGAGTCTGGAGCACCACGGGCTAGCTGTGCAATCACGCCCTCTCCACAGCGCAAAGTGTCTCCTCTGAATCTTAAAGTCCCCCTGAACAGGTTGAAAACCACAAGTCTGGATGGTCTCAGTAAAGGCCAGCACTGGTTAGGCTCCCTGAACCAAAGGAACACTGAGGTATAGCTGTCACATGAGGCCCTTCAATACTTCACCCACCCAACCTGTGACTTCGGCCCTGGATATGAGAGATGGGATGGTGATAAGGTGGTGACAAAAAATGGTGGGGGGATGGGTGGGATTGTAGAATGTCCTGATACTAAGAACATGAGATTTAGAGTCAGACAACTTGGATTCCTAATCATATGTACCTTTTGACAAATCATTTTACCTCTTCAGGCCTTACCTAGTCTCTGCAGGTACCTACACCTCAGAGTTATTAATGAAAAGGAGGCTTATGTATGTTACAAATCCATCTGTAATCCTCTCAACTATTCTATGAGGTAGTTGCCACACCCACTTTTTTTTTTTTTACAGCTGACACTGACACACAGAAGCTATGTGGCCTGGTCAGCATCACAGCTAATAAAATATTAAGTGAACCCACATTTATCTATTTCCAAATCCTAGAGTCCTTCCAGGTTCTGATCTCTTGTTAAGAATGCTTGAGAGAAGGACTAGGAGAGCTTTTTGTGAGATGTAAAGCTATTCAGACAACAGTCCTCATTAATGCTGTCGGGGAGGGGGAAGGTTGAGAAAAGCCTCAACGGAAACAGACTGATCCAAGGGGAAAGGGGGACGGGAACTGGAGGACATCGATTCCGGGAAGTAAAAGGGAGAGGGGAAGAGAACTGATAAGCAGACATCCGCCGGGACCCTGAGCAAATCTACCTCGGAAGGAGAGAATGGGACACGATAAAGCCGGAGGAGACGAGATCTAACTAGATAAGGCGTGGCCCGAACTGGCCAGGCCGGCGCAGATGCGGTCTCCTTTCGGTCAGATCAGCGCCCCTCCACCCACCCGCTCCCCAGTCCAGAACTCTTTTAGGGTGAAATGTCAGCGTCTCTGCCATCCCTCATCCCTCGTCCCGCCCTACACGCCCGCCATACGGACAGTTCCCTGCAGCTGCTAGTAGCCCGGACCGGATCCAGTCGGTCAGCCAAAGCCCAGGTCCCCAAAGTTACCAGTCCTCTTCCCCTGCAGTTGCCGACGCAGATGCCGCCATGTCTTCTGCAGCCCACAGCCGGAACCGGAAATACTCTCGGGGAAGTCGGAGGCGGTAGGTTAAGCCCAGGAGGATGGCTAGCGGCCGTTTCTAGGCAACCGCAGACTCCGGGTCCTTAGACGGTCCTGATGGCCAAGGGACGGTTCGGATGTGCCCTAGGAAGTGTCTATGGGCTATCCACCGTCTCTTCCACACGCCTGAACGCCTTTGTCCTCCGGACCTCCGACCAGTTCTAGAGAGTAAAATGGGTAACAATGGGAGTCTAAAGAGACACGCAGTTGGGGGTGGAGAAGAATGGTAAGTCAGGCAAAGTACGCAGGCAGCTAGAAGGGGCGGGGCTGAAGGCCAGCGTTGGCGCCCCGCGGCCTGAGGAGCTGGGAGCTCCTAGACTGGGGGTGAGAGAGGGGCTCCTGTCTGCTAAGCGCGAGGGCAGAGCGTGTGGGCGGGGGTGCTGAGGATGTTGGTAATGTCAGGAACTTTGAGGAGGCTGGAAGGGGTGGGGTCTGTGAGCGAGGCTGGGTTGGAGGTGGGCGGGGTCGGGTAGGCGAAGCTGGGTGGAGAGGGCGGGGTGGAGGGGAGAAGCTGAGTGAAGTGGGCAGTGATCCGATGGGCGTGGCTGGGTGGAAGGATACGGGGAACACGGAGTTGGGTGGTAACCAAGTTGGGCGGTAACCAAGTTGGGCTGGGGGGCAGGAGGAGAAAAGGAGGGAGAACTACATGAGGCGCTCTGCTCCAGGATCTCATCTCTCCATCCACTCCACCCTACCTTGTTTATGAGTCCTGGATTGTTATGAAAAAGAGGAAAAGGCAAGATGGCTAACATTAAATCTTTCTTCCATGCCCGAACCAGGCCTCCCAGATGTGTGGAACTGTCCCTGGAGCTGTAGCCCTTCACCATCATCTCTACCTTCTTCCTTCTGAGGGATCCTAAAATCTCTATCATGGAAAAGTACCACGTGTTGGAGATGATTGGAGAAGGCTCTTTTGGGAGGGTGTACAAGGGTCGAAGAAAATACAGTGCTCAGGTGGTGAAAAAAGAGGGATATTTCTTGGGTGGGATTCCACACCCTCAATTCCAGTGGAGAATGGGACCAGAATACTGACCTGTATTTCTAAGACACTGACTCCTCATACTTTTTATGGAGTGTGCGTTCTGAAGTTGGATTACTTGGGTTCACATCCCAGCTCCACCGCTTTCTCACCTTAGAACTATGGACAGATTACTCAACCTCTCTATGTCTCAGGTTCCTCATCTATAGAATGAAAATTAAAACAGTATCTGATTCATGGGGTTTGATAATTAAGTGTAATGTCACACTGAATCACTTAGTACAATGCCTGGCACCTAGTAAACAACAAATTATTATTATTTTTATTATTGGTCTCTATCATACCAGGCAATAAGTCATAAACGACTTGAACTCTATTCTTCCCTCTTCATTTTTCCATCCTTCCCTTTCCCCTAAATCCCTTAAATCTTGAGTTCTTTTTTTTTTTTTGGCTTTTGTTTGTTTATTTTTTGCATGAGAGGGAGGTAATTCGATGTATTTATTTATTTATTTATTTTGATGGAGGTACTGAGGATTGAACCTAGAACCTCATGCATGCTAAGCATGCACTCTACCACTGAGCTATACTCTCCCACAAATCTTGAGTTCTTTATCCAGATCAGAACACCTCTCCCAGAGTCCACCAAAGGTATCTGTCTGGCAGAGGCTGTTTCCTCCTAGGGCGAGAGGTAGGGGAAGCCTGGATAAAGCCTGGGTGCCAGGGGGATAAGTGGAGTAGGAGACTAGCAGATATAATGAGAATTGCTCAAACAGCTTAAAGTCTGAGTTCTGGAGCTCTGAGGCTAATGTTTCAGTAGTGTGGTTAGACCTTGACTCTTCATCTTACCACTGACAGGTGGTGGCCCTGAAGTTCATTCCAAAATTGGGACGCTCAGAGAAGGAGCTGAGGAATCTGCAACGAGAGATTGAAATCATGCGGGGTCTGTGGCATCCCAACATTGTGCATATGCTTGACAGCTTCGAGACTGACAAAGAGGTGCACTGCAGTTTGGGGTCACCTCTCCCCAAGAAGAAGGGTCTCAGGAATTTCCCAGCCTCAAAATGCATAAATCTGCATAAATCAGTACCATTGCCTTCTCCCTGCAGGTGGTGGTGGTGACAGACTATGCTGAGGGAGAGCTATTTCAGATCCTAGAAGATGATGGAAAACTTCCTGAAGACCAGGTATGTTTCCTGGCTCAAATTTCTCCCATACCTGGCCTCTCCTCAGATTAAGGACTGGTAAGGTAAGCTGAGGGCACTGAGAATGTCCATTTTGAAAACTCCTGAGTGAAATATGAGTCTAGATGTGTATAGAACCAGAATGACGTGACAGTACAGTCTGTGGATGCTGGAACCCAAATCTTTGAGTACAAAGGCTGGATCTGCTACTTTCTAGCTGAATCTTCTTGGACAAGCTACTTTAACCTCTCTCTGTTCAGTGTCCTCATTTTAAAGTGAAAATAATAATAATTTCTACCTCATAAGGCTATTGTGAGAATTAGTGAGTTAATTTATGTAAAGTGTTTTTTAAAAGAATACTTAACATGCAGTGTTCAATATAGTTAGCTATTATAAATGTTGTTGTTAACATTAGGCACTTTTAGGGAAGAAGGGCCAATGTGATGGTACCAGAAAGGCAGGAAGGAATAAGGGCTGTGGTTAAAGCAGCATTCACCACCAAGACACAGTGGTTAGCATTGGGACTTGGTTGAACACATTCAGGCATACTCATTCTAGAGATTTTTCTGTACTCTAGCAAGTAGGCTTTTCTCAGGACTTCCTGTAACAGCATTCTGTTTTCTTCTGAGCACTCATCATTATTTGTAAGTCATAATCTTATTTGTTTTGTCTTGTTTGTTTGCCTGACTACTTCTCTTACAAAAGGGACTTTGTCGTATTAAATAACAGCTAATGTATATTGAATGTTTATTAAGTGCCAGGCACCATTCTGAGCATTACATTACTTTACGTGCTTTAACTCATTTAATCCTCACAATAATCCTGTAAGTGGTATCATTATTGACACCTTACAGACAGTTGATGAATCTGACAGGCACAAGATTGTTGGCCTGTGGTCATGCAGCTAGTAAGTGAGACTCATTACCTTTTCCTTGAATGAATGAATGAATGAATAAATGAATGAACAAGTGAAAGGATGAGTGAATAGGGGAGCAAGAATTAAAGAAGGTATGATGTGAAGCTGTGGAAGAAAGACAAGGAAGAGAAGGTCACATCAGCAATAGTAGCAGAGCAGAGTCTTGGGCTCATTATCAGGCTCCTTCCTCTGACCTCTCCTTTCCTCCTCCTACCTGACTGTTTGACCCCTAGGTTCAGGCCATTGCTGCCCAGTTGGTGTCTGCCCTCTATTATCTGCACTCCCACCGCATCCTTCACCGAGACATGAAGCCTCAGAACATCCTCCTTGCCAAGGGTGGTGGCATCAAGCTCTGTGACTTTGGGTGAGGAGCTTGACCTTCCGTCTCTACTTCCAGTTCTGTAGAGAGTCTTAGACCATATGCTTGACTTCCTTGGGCCTCATTTTAGAACCTAGGCTGGAGACTGGAATTTATGCTGGGTCTTTTGGAAGGTGCTCTCTCTGTTTGGGTTGGGGGTATTTCATACAATGATAGCAGCAACTAGGTCTAGTTTTTATTGAATATTTCTCTCTTTCCATTTCCACTCCATCATGTCATGCAGATTTGCCCGGGCTATGAGTACCAACACGATGGTGCTGACATCCATTAAAGGCACACCACTCTACATGTCTCCAGAGCTGGTGGAAGAACGACCATACGACCACACTGCAGACCTCTGGTCTGTGGGCTGCATACTGTATGAGTTGGCAGTAGGCACCCCTCCCTTCTATACCACAAGCATCTTTCAGCTGATCAGCCTCATTCTCAAGGACCCTGTGCGCTGGCCCCCCACCATTAGTCCTTGCTTCAAGGTACTGAATATTGAAGGGTTACTTTTGCATCAGAAACCTGTCTTCCTCTGCCCCATTCCCTTTTTCACAATTTTTTCCGGAGCTAGGGCTGTACTTGTAGTTTCTGAATTAATGCAGGAGCTGGGGCAAGCTGCCTTGCTTTTTTACTCCAGGGGCATGTTCTGGAAGGGTGTTCTAAAGTCTGCCAAACTTGGGAGTAACAGCCCCTCCTTGGGCCAGGCTTATCTTGATCACAATGGAAAGGTAATTTCAAGACACCAGAGAGATACTGGTCCCTTTACATATGTATCTCTGTCTACTCATTTCCTGTCTAATGCAGTGTCCATATGATTTCTAGATTTGCCAACACAGCTGTCAGTCCTCTTCCTGAAAGAAGGACTCTTCAGGTATACAAACTAGCTCAGTGATTGGGGACAGAGGATTGAGGTGGTGCCTGCTAATTGCAGCTAAGTCTCAGCAGGAGGGAGTAAGGGAGGAAAAAGACCCTTTTTATTTCTTTTCTAGGGCAAGATTTGGGCCTTCAGTAAAATTTAAATGCAACCTTCTCCCACAGTGAAATCTCATTATAGCTTTCCTTTGTCCAAGATGAAAAGGGACAAGTTTCTCCCTAACCTATTTAGTTGAGAGAGGCCCAAATAATTATCAAAAAGAATGTAACAGAAGAAACTTAAGTGGATGCTATACAAAGGATATTCTTTCTTCCTTAGGGCAGATATGCAGGTATCTCCAGCAAGAGCCATAATGTGCTAATCACCTTGTTTTAGAACAGTGGTCCTAATTAATCTACTAGTACCTTCTATTCCTATTTCAGGCCCAGCTGAGAATGTCCCCAAAGATACCTCATAACAGATGTACTCTTTTTAGATACAGTCTCCCTACCCCTCCACCATCTGAAGACTTGCTGAAAGATTTGTTTTTGAGTGCTCCCAAACCTGTCTTTACACAATGACTTGTGCATATGAGTGTGCTTTTAATTATAAATGCATTTGTTCCTACCCAGCGCAAACAAACCACAGTCAAAGGGAGGGCAAAGTGAGCAGTTTGGGACTCCCATGAATGTTTGCTTTCTGAAAATGATTGTGAAGGTGACATCCCTCTTTCTTAGTTTTTTCTTACTTCTTCACGTACTGGTGACATTGAGATTTCTGGTTTTACTTCTGGGGTTCTAAAATGTCCTGGGCCATGGACAGGAATTGGGGCTCCCCTGGAAGTGAGGCAGTGAGATCTGTCCATGATTTTGGCCCGGGAAATGAGGCCTAAGATAGGATTAGAGAGGATTTGATCAAGACCAGCTAGTCTACTGAAAGAATGGACTCAGGAGTCTTGGTTTGCCGGTTCTGATGAGTTAGAGGAGTCTGTAGAGAAGTGCAGGCTGATGGGGTGTCCTTTCTCTCCACAGAACTTCCTGCAGGGACTGCTCACCAAGGATCCCCAGCAGCGTCTCTCCTGGCCAGACCTCTTACATCACCCCTTTATTGCTGGTCGTGTCACCAGTGAGTCCTAAGGGTTCCTGGGCTCTTGTGCTTCCCTAGTACGCTATCCAGTTAACACCAATATTGGGATCCAACGTGTATTCTTTACGCCACCAGCTTGAATTTTCTTCCTAGGCCTTTGCATGACCCTTGCCATTTCCCTTGCAACCCCCCTCCCTCTTTGTCACTTTGTCAGTAGGGTCCCCTTCCACAGAAGCCTGGAGACACTGAAGTTGTCTCTGGCCAAATGGCAATGGTGGCATGGCTCCAGTATGATCATGTCTTCCCCCTCTTCTCTCCCTGCAGTATTAACTGAGCCAGGAGGCCCAGATTTGGGTACCCCATTCACCAGTCGCCTTCCCCCAGAACTTCAAGTCCTAAAGGACCAACAGGCACATCGGCTGGCCCCCAAGGGCAATCGATCTCGCATCTTGCGTCAAGCCTGTAAACGCATGGCAGAGGAGGCCAAGCAGAAGGTGTGTGGGACAGGGGACAGTGTGTGACATAATCAGGCTAGTGACTGGGGGAGTTGGAGAAGGAGGGTGACTTTCTAGGATTGGGGAAGGGCCACAAAAAGGAGTCATACTGCCTTATGGCAACCAAAGAGTTCTGACTCGGTGTCTCCTGCTCATTTCCTACAGAAACAGCAGAACACAGGACCTCCCCTTGAGCAAGAGGATGGGACCAACAAGGTGGCTTCTGGCACATCTCCTCTGCCCAGACCAAAGACCACTCCTCAGAAACCGGGCCTCTTGGCTGGGATCTTGACCTCAGAAATGAAGAGCAGCTGGGCTGAGTGGGGGGCTGGGGAGGCTCCCCCTGCACCTCGGTAAGGAGGGTATAGCCAAAGATTTATAGGGTGAGGCGTCTTACAGGTTGTTGACTTTAGCCAAAGCAAATATAACATGGTCCATGTCACTCACCACTGCCTAAATATGGACAGGGCCTTGGGAGTCTGAGTCCTGGGTTCTTCTAATTTGAGATACTTTCCTGATTAATCAGGAAATGGGGACTTTCTTTTCTTTATGCCTCAGTTGTATATTAACTGAAAGGGAAAGAATCATCTCCATGCAAAAGGGAAGATTATTTGAGCTGAGAGTCACAGGTGAAAACCACTAAGGTAGATTTGGAAGGTAAAGTGGGAGGGCAGTCAGAGATGTGTGTGTAGTGGACATACCCTGTCCTGGCCATATCCCAGAAGGAAGTCTCCTCTAATCAATCCAATATGGCTTATTTTTCTTTCCTATCCTGGGCCTAGAGGGAGGGACACGGTAATGAACCCTAAGCCTCCAGGACTAGAACTCATCCTGCTCCTCGTGTTCTCTGGCAGGGAAAACTGGATTATCCAGGACTGTGAGCAAGCACTCCCAGAGCTGAGGCCAGAGGTGGTGGGCCGGCGGAGTCTTGACGCAGTGGACCTGGAAAATGAGGTGAGCCCTGGGGTCTCCTCTTGGCTTTGTCCCTGCCATGGAATGTTGGGTCTTGATAGATGTTTTCCATAACAGTGATTTGCAACCCTCCAAGTATGAGCTCCCCTTGTGTTTAAAAATTGCTTTCTTATTATTAACTTACAGATTTTATCTTATTTTATTTATTTTTAATTGAAGTACAATCAATTACAATGTGTCAATTTCTAGTGTATAGCACAATGTCCCAGTCATGCATATACATACATATATCCATAACTTATAGATTTTAAATGCATAGTACCTGAACATTCATTTGTCAGAAATTGTAATATATAAACAAGAAAGGAAAGTCTCTCTTGAGCCTTATCTCGGCCCCAGAGGTGTCTGTCTCCTGAACGTTCTATACTTTTACACATATGTGTATGTGCACACAGAATATATAGCTGGGCTATTTTTACATTACTGAGCCACCCCACATGTACTGTTTTGCCTCATGCTTACCATATGATCTGTTTTAAGGCTCTTTCTACATCTGAACATGTAGTTCTACTACAGTCTTTTGTGTTTAGGGTTTTAACTTTTTATTTTGAGAAGAATTCAGACTTAAAAAATAATTGTGAGACTAGCATGAAGAATTTCTATATACCCTTTCACCCAGATTTACCACTTGTTAAAATTTTGCCACATTTGCTTTATGATTTTCTTTCTCTATGTATGGACACATCATCTTTCTCAATCATTTTAGGATAAGTTGCAGACCTGCTTCTTTATCACCAAATACTTTAGTGTATATTTGCTAAGAGGAAGGTGACTGAGGCATTCGCACTGCCATGTTATAGTTATAGTCAGAAATGTAACACTGATATAATTCTGTTACTTAGTCTATAGTCCACATTCAGATTTTTCCAGTTGCTCCAGTAATGTTCTTTATAATAAAAAAACATTTTTCTCCGTGGTCCACAATCCAGCCCAGTATAACACATTGCCTTTAGTTGTTACACTTCATTAGTCTCCTTTAATCTGGAACAGTTCCTACTCTTTCTTTGTCTTTCATGATTGACAGCTTTGAGATGCACAGGTTGGTTGTTTTGTTGAATGTTCCTCAGACTGATATTTCCTCATAATTGGATTCAAGTTATGCATTTTGGGTGGAAACTACATAAGTGATGCATCCTCAGTATTGCGATCTTTTTAATGACTTCATGGTATTTCCTAATATGGATGTGCCAAGATTTATTATTCCATTGCAGACTGGCTTTATGGTATTTCCAATTTTTTATTATTATTTGTTATTCCATTTTTTTTGTTATTGTATTAACCATGCAACAGACATCTTCCTAGGTATCTCTTTATGCACACATAGCAGTGTTCTCCAAGAGACTTTTCAAGACCCCTCACATAATGCGAGCTATACCTTTTTAAACTGGTGGCTGAAAAAAATACATCTATGCCAAAGGAGTCACTGGCTTCTTGCAGTTACTTTAGGATACCCCAGGTTGGGAGCTATTCCCCTTGGACCTGACACACTCCTCCTGACCTCTTTCACTCCTTGATACCTCAGGAGCCAGACAGTGATGATGAGTGGCAACACCTGCTGGAGGCCACTGAGCCCGCACCCATCCAGCTGAAGGCCCCTCTAACCCTGTTGTGCAATCCTGACTTCTGCCAGCGGATCCAGAGTCAGCTGCATGAGGCTGGAGGGCAGGTAATGGGCAGAAGGATCCGTGGGTAGGATTGGAGACGATTTTCACAGACAAGGTATTAAAAAACATTGACTGACAGAGGAGAAAGAGAAAGCTTGTACCTTTCCAGTTCTCTTTCATTGCATCTATTTAATTGAATGAGATTTGCTAACCACCTTTATAGTAACACAAATTGCAGACTTTGGGTTTCTCTTTCTGAAGGGAAAAACATTCTAGAGCAGGGATCAGCAAATGTTCCTATGGTAAATATTTTAGGCATGGAGGGCCAAGAGGCAAAAAATGGAGGATATTATGTAAGTATTTCTATAATGAGAGAAAACACGTTTCACCAAAGTTTTTATTGATAAAATAAAAAATACAAATGTAACAATTTAAGTATTCATTATTTTTATATGCAGGTATGCTATTGAGAGAATGAGATTCTTTTTTAGGGGATAACATTTTGCTTAATTGCCATTTATGATTAGTGTTCTCTCCCACAAAGCCTTTCCTTACTTCTCTGAAACACAGTGATTTTCCTTCTTGGGGGCTCATTGAAATATGTCACCTGCATCTCTTTCCCTTTTTTTCTTTTAAGTTAAAAAAATGATTTCTAGTAAACTTACCAAGTTGTGAAACCATCACCAATATTCAGTTTTAGAACATTTTAATCACCCCAGTAAGATTGCTCATAATTATTTATAGTTAATTATCATTCCCACCCCAGTACCAGGCGACCACTAATCTACTTTCTGTCTCATAGATTTGCCTTTTCTGGACATTTCATGTAAATGGGATCATACAATGTACAGTCTTTATGTCTGGCTCCTTTCTCTTAGTATGTTTTTGAGGTTCATTCATGTTGTAGCATGTCTCAATACTTCATTCCTTTTTATCGCTGACTAGTCTTCCATTGTGTGGATATATCACATTTTGTTTATCCATTCGCTAGTTGATGGATGTTTGGGTTGTTTCTACTTTTTGGCTTTTATGATTGATGCTGCTTTGAACATTCACATGAAAGCCTTTGAGTGACATATGTTTTCATTTCTCTTGGGTGTATACGTAGGAGGGGAATTGCTGGGTCAAATAATAAATTTATGTTTAAGATTTTAAGAAACTGCTGAACCCTTTTCCAGAGTGGCTGCATCATTCTACATTCTCACCAGCAGTGTGTGAAGCTCCTCATTTCTCCATGTCCTTGCTGACATGTATTATTGTCCATTGTTTTAAGTATAGTCATTCTAGTGAGTGTGAAATAGTATCTCATTGCTATTTTACTTTGCATTTTGTTAATGACTAATATTGAGCATTTTTTCATGTGCTTATTGGCCATTTCTTTCACTCATTTTAAAATTGGAATTGTAAGAGTTATCTGAGTACTCTGGATAGAAGACCTTTATCAATATGTGATTTGCAAATATTTTCTCAAGTCTATGTAATCTGTCTTTTTATTCTCATAAGAGTGTCTTTTGAAACACAAAGGTTTTGAATTTTGAAGTCCAGTTACCATTTTTTTCCTTTGTAGATTATGCTTTTGGTGTTGTATCTAAGAAATCTTTTCTAAATCCAAAGCCTTGAAGATTTTCTCCTATTTTTTTCTAAAAGTTTTCTAGACATTTAGGTCCTGACCCACTTTGAGCTAACTTTTGTTTATGTACAAAAGGGATGTATTTTGTATGTATCCCTTAAGGATATTAAGTGAGATAGGGATTTAAGTTCATCTTTTTGCATGTGGATATAGAATCACCTCAGCACCATTTGTTGAAAAGACTCTCCTTTCCCCATTGAATTGCCTTGGCACTCCGTACCTCTCTTTTGGCCCTTACATGTCCTCCTTGTGTAGGATAACTTTTCAGTGGGGAAGGAGGTTAACAACTCTGCCTCCAGAATAAGACTTCCTGAGTTGGAATTCCAGCTGAGCTACCCTGTATGATTATTGACTACTTACTTGCCCAATCTAGAAGCTTCAGTCTCCTCATCTATAAAATGGGTAATGGTATTTACTCCATAGGGTTGTTGTAAAGATTCAGTGAATAAATAAGTGAAAAGATTTAGAACAGTGAATGGCATATTGTAAAGCACTCAATGTAAATATTTTTCTTCTTTTTAAAGATAATAACCATTTAAAAATATAATGCTGTCCTTAGCTTGCAGGCTGTATAGAAATAAGTGGTATATTGTACTTGGCCTGTGGGTCATGATTTGTCAACCCTAGATCTCAAGTTGAATACTATTGTTTTGTCTATCTGGAGTTGAACAACTTTGTTTTGTGTCCATTGTTTTTAATTTTCAGCAGTGGGTTTGTGTTTTCTTTCTTTTTTAAGGTGAAGGGCTGGAGAAGGGAGGGAGCAGTTGGGAATGTCACTGGGTCTGACTGAGATCCTAAAGAGAGGTCCCCTGCCCCTTGGGAGGAGGACTCTAAATCAGGTGACTGGCCATCTACGTTCCCCTTCCCTGGTACATTCCCCCTCTATCTCTGTTCTCCATCTCTGGGTTTTAGATTCCCAAAGTAAGAACTGAGGATATTTCATCTCCTTGGGAATACATGGTAATCTGTAACTCTCCTTCTATCTCTCTTAATATTGATTCCTGTCTCTTTCTCTCGGGTTACCCAGATCCTGAAAGGCGTACTAGAGGGTGCTTCCCGCATCCTTCCTGCGCTCCGGGTCCTGAGCAGTCTTCTGTCCAGCTGCAGTGACTCTGTTCCCTTGTATTCCTTCTGCCGTGAGGCAGGGCTCCCTGGACTGCTGCTCAGCCTGCTCAGACACAGCCAGGAGAGCAACAGTCTCCAGCAGGTAAGCACTTCACCAGGAGCCTCTAAAAACTTACTGGAATTTCTTCTCTTCGGATTTCTTGTCTCTAAAACTCCATCTGTACTTGGCCCAAGTGCCTTTTATTTTGTTTTCTTCCTCTCTAGTTAGCAGATTATGAATTGTAAATCCTCATCCCTTTCAAGACCAGGTAGATAATGTCAATCAGTGAAGTAGTCTATACATGACTATGTGAGTAGTGGGAAGGTGAGAAACTGGAGCTCTCATGCCCTGTCGGAACGGGGCATCCTTCGCTCAGCACCAGCTCACTGTTGCTAAGTGGGAATACAGGCCCAGTGTTGCCAGATCCTCCAGTTTTCTAAGAGAAGCTACAAATCCAGATTTTTATGTGCAGTTTCCCAATATTTACAGCACTGTGTTTTGAAATGTAAAATCCTAGGCTTTATTGACCTGGTTTTCTAGAGCAGGGTATTGAAATCCAGAGGTTAACTGACTCACACAGGCAGTACCTTGCCAGCAGCCACGGAGATGATAAGCAGAATAGCTTGGGTTGAGACTCAGTGTGCGCATCCCCATGCTGAGTCCTGCCGCAGCTGAGCTGAGAGGCGGAATACAGAAAGGTTTAACAGGGTCTAGGCTCAGGCAGCTGGAAGCTGCACTCTGCTGATGAGTGTTAATCTTGAATGTTTTAAAGGAATTTAGAAAAGAATTTGAGCTATTTTGAAAAATAGAACCTCCTAAACTCCAACATGCTGTTCAGGACAAACAAGGTACATGTTCAGGCTATTTACAGCCCATTGGCTGCCACTTTGTTACCTCTAGATCTCCTTTCTCTCTGTCCAAATGCTCCCTTCCTTCTGTCCCTTTCTGTTTGGTCAGTCTGATTGGATATCTGACACTGTTTTTACTTTATCTTTGTTTCCATCCCCTACATTGCCCTTATTCTCTGTCCTCTTCCCTGGCAGCAATATTGGTATGGGACCTTCTTACGGGACCTGATGGCTGTGATTCAGGCCTACTTTGCCTGCACCTTCAATCTGGAGAGGAGCCAGACAGGTGACAGGTGGGATGAGAGGCAGTTTTGCTCTGTTGGACAGTTTGGCTTCAAATTTTATCCCTGTTTCTTCCCCTTCACATCAGGAAGAGGCTAAGTTAGGAGAAGCTATAATTTATGAAAGGTTTAGGGATCAGCTGAGGGACCTCTCAAAGTCCAGCTAGTCCTCTTAGTCCTCCAAGACACCTCCAAGTTTACTCAAACAATTTCGGGTTCTAAGGGTTAGCAGTCACCATACACTAAATGGAAGGGTTAAGGCGTGAATAAGCTAGAGAAAATGACAAAGAGGTGGCTTGGAGGTGTGTATGTGAGACTGTGTGTGCGTTTGAAGGGGAAAAGGGAGAGAGCATTCTGATCTGTTCCCTTGCAGAGATTCTCCTACCTGCCCTGAACTGACCCTTTTACCACATGTGGGCTTTTAGTAGAGAGATGAGAAGAAACCACGGACTCATTTTTTTCCCAGCCTACAGGTATTTCAGGAGGCCGCCAACCTCTTTCTGGACATGTTGGGGAAACTACTAACCCAGCCAGATGACTCCGAGCAGACTCTGCGGAGGGACAGCCTTGTGGTAATCTGTGTCCCCTTCCAGATTTCTCTCTCTGTCTTTCCTGTATTTCTCTCATTCTCTTTCTGATGACTATCAGAAAAGATTAGGTCAAGGTCATACAACCAATGTTTGTTGAATGCCAACTATGTGCCAAAAGCCATTTAAGTAAGAGAGAGTCCCTATTTTCAAGGGACCAGGGCTAGTTTAAGAGGAGAAATGTGATCAAGGACAACAGTGTTAAAACTACATTAGAACTTTGTATAAAATATAGAAGCACCACTGAAGAAGACTAATGCTTCTTGGAGGGTTGTAGAGGAGTCTGGGAGAAGGAAATCATCTCTGCTAGGATTTGAAGAATGCATAGAAGTTTGCCAGGTGGTTGAGGCAGGAAAGTTGGGAGTACATTCCAGGCAAAAAGAGCAACATATATTAAGTCCCAGAGGCATCAAGCTGTGTGGCCTATTTTAGGGAACCACAAATAGAAATATTTCTTCCTGAAGAGACTTAGAGATCAGCTAGTATTTCCCAACCTTGTTTGTCCTACAGGCAAGTAACCTATGTGAGTTCTCTCCCCTGGACTCTGGAGGTGAGGGATGGGAAGGGAGGACTGAATGAGAAAACAGCTGAGTTCTCTGATGTATCTCAGAGGAGACAGATTGGAACATGTGCAAGGAAGCAAACAATTCGTCATTATTCAAACTGGCAATTGGGAACACAGAGCTGGGCTACAGTCCTGCCTCTAGCTCTTGGTCCATTCAATCTCTTCTAGTCTGAGAGCCCATTTTAACATCCTTCACTCTTTCTGGTCAGGAAGCTTTTATTGTCTAACCTAAATTCTGGCCAGCAGTGATTCACATTATTGGTCAGCACTTCTCCTATGTCATTGTGTAGTGTAGCATGGGGAGTTTGGAATAAATATTCTACCTCTTGAAATTCTGAATCAGTAGGACTGGGTTGGGAAGAACCCATAAATCTCCAGGAATTCTTGAACTCAGGGTCTACAGATCACACTTTGAGAAACATCATCTGGGGAGCAGCTGATCAGAATAGAAGGACTGACACCTAAAATTCCTGTCCTTGAAGCATGAAGGCAGTTATAATGCATTTTCTGTGCAAGGAATAGTTAGAATTCACCAGGTGGTCCCTCTTTTCTCACATTCTCTGGGAACTCTTGCTCCTTACCCTAAGCCCAGTCAGTTTTCTTTCTAATGTTAACCCTGCCTTTATCACTTTGTCTTTGTCTTCCTTAGTGCTTTACTGTTCTGTGTGAAGCCATGGATGGGAACAGCCAGGCCATCTCCAAAGCCTTCTACTCTAGCCTCCTGATGACGCAGCGGGCTGTGCTGGACGGACTCCTTCATGGCTTGACAGTTCCACAGCTCCTGTTCCACACCCCGCCAGGTAACCAGAGCTGGGAGGCAAGGTTCTCTTTGACTTACTTGTCGATTAGATCCGGCTCTGCTCTTTCTCCTGCCATTGCCTAGAGTAGTGCCTGATGTTTCATGAGTGTTAAATAAATAACTGTGAACTGAGAGAATGAATGGAGAATCTGCGAGAAACCACCAGACCTCTCCCTGCATTCTTTGCCTTTCTCCACAGGAGCCCCCCAAGTGAGTCAGCCACTGCGGGAGCAGAGTGAGGATCTGCCTGGAGCCATTTCCTTGGCGCTGGCAGCCATATGCACTGCTCCTGTGGGGCTGCCTGGCTGTTGGGAAGCCAAGGAGCAGGTCTGAGCTACAGTTTTTGTTGCCTGTCATCCCTGTTGCCTGTTGTCATCCCTGTTGGGGTGGCAGGCCCCAACTTCTCAGAAAGGCAGAAAGACAAGCTTTTATGCCTCTCTTTACTCAGTACTTCCAGAAACAGATGCTCCTACTGGGTTTGGGTCACTTGTAGAACATGGTGTAACCCAAAATCCCAGAGCCCTTGGCCAGCTGATTAGAGAGCTCAGTGACAAACTGCCCATGTGGTGGGATAGCTGATCTGAAGCCACCAGTGGTGCTTTGTCAGAGGCTCAGGATTCAGTTTTCCTATCTCCCTTTTGGCTGGCAACACTCTCCTCTGTACCTACTTACAGTGGGACTTAACTAGGCCTTGACGTCTGGTTCTCTGTTGGCCATGAAGACTTGGAATAGAATGGGGTCTGAGGTTCCTGGTGAACCTGGGGAAGAATGGCTAGCAGGGGACTGAGAGTCCTGGTTAGTTGGAGGTATATGAGGGACAGGATTGGAATCATGGGCAAGCGATTGAGTCTTCAGGAATGTCTCTATAGATCTCTCGGCATTTGGCAAATCAACTCACCGAAGACAGCAGTCCGCTGAGGTCATCCCTTGTCTCTGGCCTGAAGCATCCCATCCTGTGCCTACCCCTTCTCAAGGTATTGCCTGCCCATAACTCTTGGCTCTTCAGATTTCTTTTTAACCCTCAGGAATGAGAGAGAAAGAGACACTGAGAGAAACACTGAGAGAGATGAGAGACCCCCTTGGAGGACCCCTTTCTGCTTTTAAATCTGTTCAGCTGAGATGGTTAGCCAGTCCTCACCAGAACTGAGAAGTAGCTACATCTCACAATCTTCTAGCAAGAGGCAGAAGTGACCTGAATTTCTCTAACAGCCCCGGTTGACACTATTGAATCTGTTGAAAGGCTAGCCTGCTTTCAGCTGAGACTTCCAATCTAGGAGCCCAGGGGCAGCTCTGCCTCACTGACAACACTCTTTTCCATGCCCCTTAGGTTCTGTACTCCTGCTGCCACGTCAGTGAGTGCCTGTGCCGTCTTCTAGGGCAAGAGCCCCTGGCCTTGGAGTCACTGTTGAAGTTGGTGCAGGGCAAGGTAGGCCAGCAACACAGGTGGGCATCTCATGGTGGCCTCTCCATCTCAGTCAGAGGTTGCTCTGGTATCTTGTGTTTCCTTTGTAGACAAAGGTAGTGGACTGGGAAGAGTCTACGGAAGTGACGCTCTACCTCCTCTCCCTTCTTGTCCTTCGGCTCCAAGATCTACCTTCTGGGTGAGTCATAAAGTAGGGTCTCTCCTCTGAAATATTCCACCCACATAGCTCAACCTGACATGGGATATGGGGAGTGACGCCCTTCAGCATGTCCTTAGGAAGGATTGGGACAGAGAGAGTGAAGGTATCTCTACAAAGAACAGACCTAGATTCCCACCAACTTTGTGCCCTGGAGGTGGACACGCAGCCTAGGTGGAGAGTGCCAGCCAAAGGAGAGGGAAGGCCACTCAGCAGCCTCCTGTCACATTGCTGTATCCCTTGATGTATCTCCTTATTCCAGAATGGAGAAGCTAGGCAGCGAGGTTGCTACCGTCTTTACCCATTCGCCCGTCGTCTCGCTTGTGGTGAGTTTTCAACCTTCATCTTCCTCGCCCTCTCATCCCATCATCCCACCTTCTGGGAGCAGGAGAGTCATTTTCCCATTTGCAGCTGTTTGTGAGGCATTCTTCTGGACCAAGACAGAGACATAAATCCTCTCTGCCATCCTGAGTACCATTCAGATTCAGACATGCCTTCTCCTGGTCTAACTCTCCCCAGAGTGCGGCAGCTTGTCTGTTGGGACAGCTTGGTCAGCAAGGAGTAACTGTGGACCTCCAGCCTGTGGAGTGGATCGCTGCGGCCACACATGCCCTGTCTGCCCCTGCAGAGGTGAGATCCACCAGGGAATGCAGAGCCGTGTTTTCTCTGAGTCAAATAAGGTCTGCATTTAGGGAGAAAAGACTGAAATGCCAGTAAGCCTAGAGTGAACTGAGGAGTGAGAATGAGCGAATCAAGGAGTCTCTCCTGTTCTAGGCTTCTGCCTCCAGATAATAGATCCCTCTGAGACCAGACTGCTGGGCTGTAGATTTGTTGTTAACGCGCAGAGCCTCTGAAGAGGGAGGAGGCCTCACTTCTCTCTCAGACTCGGACACTTACCTCCCGAAGGATCTCTCCTCCAGCTTCTCTCCTCTCCAGTCTGTTTCCTTCACTCCTGCCAGAGTGAGCTTTCTTAAAGGAAAACCTGCTCTCTTGTTCAACCAATAATTACTTCGCACATAAATAGACACTGAGTACCAGGCACTAGTCTAGGCTCTGAGAATATAGCAGTGAGAAAAGAGACGAGCAGTCTTGCCCACATGCAGCTTGTGTAAGTCCTCACTGGCTTCTCACTGTTTCCGGGATAAAGTCCACATTTTTTAAGCAGGCTATTCAAAGCTCATCTGTTGCCTCTGGGTTCTCTAACCCTGCTCTACCGAACGAGTTACTATTTCCAAAATTCACTGTGATCTTTCATGACCTGCCTTTATATAAGCTATGACCTCAGCTTGGAACATTCTCCCTTCCTTGTCTGCCTTTCGAACTTCTGATTCCATCAGTCTCTTACGTCCAGGAAGCAGAGGTAGGCACACTCAACTTTGTCTACTTCCCTCTCCTCACCCCCCTACCTCACAGCCTCTTGTTTAGCAAGTCTCTTCCTGCACTATCATTGTTTCTGTGGCTGCCTACCCTACCAGACTGTGTGTCTTTAGGACAGAGTTAGTCATTGAAAAAATAGGCAGGAACCAAGACTCCTAAGTCCAAAAGAACTCTCCCCACTACACCAGGCTGAAGAAGAACTCTCTATGCCTGACTTGGAGTTGGGTGTGCAGGCCTGCGCAGCCATCTCATCCCTCTCAGGGATCTGCCCTCTTCCTTCCCTTCTCCGACAGGTGCGGCTGACTCCACCAGGGGGCTGTGGATTCTACGATGGCCTCCTCATCCTGCTGCTTCAGCTCCTCACCCAGGTACAGTTGCATCCTAGAATGGATGGGAAGTAAAGCAGCACAATCCCTCTGTCCTCTCAAACTACCCTGCCTGTGATGGCCTTAGAATGGGCCCACCTGGCCTCAGTATGGGCCCTTTAAAGGGAACCATTCAGCTTCATCCCTTGGGATTCAGTGGGACTAAAAGCTCTAATTCACTGGTTTCCAGTAGACATACATAAGAGTTGAGACGTCGGAGGGTTAAGATGTGATAAGAAAGGAAACTAGGACAACAAGGAACTCCTAAGTGGGAAACAGAAGGAATTATTTCTGGGACTCCTCTTCCTCACAGGGTCAGGGACAAGAATGAAAAAAGGCATTTTGATTCCTGACTTCAACCTCCCCATTCACCTTCTTTCAATTTTGTCTCTAGCAGGGGAAGGATAATCCAGTAAGAGATGTGGCTGGCTCAGAAATGTGGACTGTTCTGTGGCATCGCTTCTCCATGGCTCTGAGGCTCCCTGAAGAGGCGTCTACACAGGAAGAGGAACTGTCACTGTCTAGTCCACAAAGCCTAGAGCCAGACTGGACACTGATCTCACCCCAAGGTATCTTTCCAACTGCATGGCCCCTTTTGTGGGGCCAGTGTATTGACCCCTCTTCAAGAGGAAACAGCCTAGGACTGGGTTAGCCCACAGAGATTGCTGCTGCTGCTGCTGCCTGGGGAGAAGATGGCAGAGTCTATGCTGGAGATGCTCAAGGATGGGGAAGGGACTGAACAGGTGGTGGCCCTAAGAGCCATGGTGAAGCAGGGGCAACTAGGCCTCTTGCCTGCTCCACTGGGTCCCCATTCTTGGTGTTTCCAGGCACAGCAGCCCTGCTGAGCCTGGCCGTGGCCACCTTTACCCAGGAGCCCCAGTTATGCCTGAGCCACCTGTCTCAGCGTGGAAGTATCCTCATGTCCACCCTGAAGCATCTGCTGTCGCCCAGCTTCCTGCATCAGCTGGGCCAGGCGTGAGTTGGAGCTAGAGGAGGGAGACCAGAAAATTTAGCCTGCCAGTTGGGGCAGAAGTTGGGGGAGGCAGGAGAGAAAGAACTGTCAGCTTGAGCTATGAGGCAAGAAATGGGATTGCTGATGTTGGGGAAGGAGAGCTGGACTAGGGAATTTGACAGGAGTGGAGGAAGAATGCTAAAGGGTGGTGAGCCAGGCTGAGTACATCTTTTCATACTCCCCTCCTTAGGCCTCAAGGGTCTGAGTTTCTCCCCGTGGTGGTGCTCTCTGTCTGCCAACTCCTCTGCTTCCCCTTCGCCCTGGATGTGGATGCTGACCTCCTCGAAGGTATCTTGGCTGACCTCACAGACTCAGAAGTCACAGCCCACCTGCTGCAGGTACTTGGGAACCTACCCAGGCAGGAAGATGGGAGAGGAGGATGGCCAACCTTGTGTACTCGAATTTACTTCCAGACAGCTCCAGGGCTCTCCTAGGGCCCTGTAAGAGGGCAGCATCTGGCTAGATCTAAGAGTTGGAGTGGAGAAGACATTTGGGCCCTAGCAGAGGCATGTGCTTGGAGCAGGGCTGGTGCCTTCTCTCTCCATCAGTCCCTTACCTGGATTCCGGTGGAGCTCAGTGGGGCAGACATCCTAGTCTAGGCACTGGCAACTCAGCTCCTCAGCCAGGAGTCACTTCTCTGGCAATTGTTGGCATTAAGCAGTGAATGGGTCTCTGAAAGCAGAGACTTAAGTCTTTCCAGAGCAAAGCATGAACTTGGGAAGGACCTGTTCCCCTGGGCTCCACATCATATCTCACGTGGAGTGCTGTAGCTCAGGTCTTCCAACTCTGTGGTATTTCTCACCAGAGCTTGCCTTTCCTCTCTCCCAGATTTGGGGCTCCTCATTATCTAGCTGCAGTGTATTCTCCCTCTCCCTGAACTATTTTGCCTGCACCCCACCCCACTTCTCCCAGGTCTGCTGCCACCATCTTTCATTGACACAAGTCGAGCTGCCCGTCAGTCTTCTCACACACCTGGCCCTCACGGATCCCACCTCTCTCAAGCAGTTTGTGAACACAGTGGCTGCCTCCCCTAGAACCACCATCTCATTCCTCTCAGTTGCCCTCCTGGGGGACCAGCCGCTGCTGACCTCTGATCTTCTCTCCCTCCTGGCCCACACCGCCCGGGTACTGTCTCCCAGCCACTTGTCCTTTATCCAAGAACTCCTGGCTGGCTCTGATGAATCCTATAGGCCCCTGCGCAGCCTCCTGGGCCACCCAGAGAATTCCGTGCGGGCCCGTACTTATGGACTCCTGGGACACTTGCTCCAACACAGCTTAGCCCTGCGTGGGGCCCTGCAGAGTCAGGCTGGACTGCTCAACCTTCTGCTGCTGGGGCTTGGAGACAAGGACCCTGCTGTGCGGCGCAGTGCCAGCTTTGCTGTGGGTAATGCAGCCTACCAAGCTGGTCCCCTAGGACCTGCCCTGGCAGCCGCGGTACCCCGTATGACCCAACTGCTTGGAGATCCTCAGGCTGGTATCCGGCGCAATGCTGCATCAGCTCTGGGCAACTTGGGGCCTGAGGGATTGGGGGAGGAGCTGTTACAGTGCCAAGTACCCCAGCGGCTCCTAGAGATGGCGTGTGGAGACCCCCAGCCAAATGTGAAGGAGGCCGCCCTCATTGCCCTCCGGAGCCTCCGACAGGAGCCCTGCATCCATCAGGTACACCGCAGGGGACTTATGAATCACCACAGTGGGGCTGGTTTTCACAGCATTTTTCTGAGTTAGTCATTAAGAAATTGGGACATCCAGAAACCCAAGTTGTATCCCTCTCTGGGAGCAGGAAACCCAGGGGCTGTGTCTTGGACATGAGTTTTCCATCTACCACTCCTACCTGGGGAAGGGCAGGGACCTAGAAGAGGGCTCTGTTGGACTAGAAAATGCCTGGGATCCCAAAGACCAGGGTTTCTCTTTTCTAGAGACCATGCAGGAGGGAGTTGAGGGAAGACTGGGAGATGTTGAGATAGAGAATGGTTTCGTTCTGAGGGCCATGAAGGTGTTAACGATCTTTTTTATAGCACCTATCATGTGGAAAGCATATGCTGAGCATTTTAGCCTTATTATGTGGTTTAAGTTATGCCCCTCATTTCGCAGACTATGAAACTGAGGCACTAAGAACTTAATAACTTGTCCAAGTTACAAAGCTAGTATGTAGGATTGGACTTTTAAACTCAAGTCTGAGTCCAGAGCCCATATTCTTAACCACTGCTTATTTTGGTCAATTTTCAGTATATAAACTGCCCAATGGAAATCATACATCTACCAATGTTAAACCTCCAAATCATAATAGTTCAGTGTGGTAGCATTGGGTGATTCATGCAGAAGAGAAATTTTGACAGAATGGTGACACATGTTATAGAGTTTTCTGACAATCTATGTGGGAAACAATAAAAGGGATTCTTGGTGGTAATGAGCTTAAGACTCACTAGTCTGGATCCATGGCTGGGAATCTGACATTTTGGCTTACAATCACTGCTATGTTCATTGCCTCTTCCTGGGGACAAGTACATGGGTCCCTTGGTGCCTTGGTTTCATGGTCTGTAACCAAAGAGAATGGAAGTAGACTCTGGTCCTGATGAGTCCTGTCTCCAAAGTCTCTCACACAACCTATTTTGAGTCCCTAAGGGCCCATTTTCTTTTTCGTCCTTTTCTGAAGTGGGCACTGCTCGGCCAAATCAGAGTCCTCTGCATGTCATGTTCTGTCATCTCTCTCTCTTTCCCACAGGTGCTGGTGTCCCTGGGTGCCAGTGAGAAATTAGCCTTGTTCTCTCTGGGGAATCAGTTACTGCCACATAACAGTCCCAGGCCTGCCTCCACCAAACACTGCAGGAAACTCATTCACCTCCTGAGGCCAACCCACAGCACGTGATCCCAGATTCCCGGGGTCCAGCCTCCAACCTTCATTGCCTTGCTGTCGCCAGCTCTTCCTTTTTCTACTCTACAAGCCACCAACTCAACCTAGAGCTAAAGAGACTGAGAGAGATAAGATGCCAATCAACTGATTTGAGAAGGAGAACATAGAAGAGATTTATGTATAAAGCTCCTTCTTTCCTCCAGATTCAGGATGATTTCAACCAGTAAACTTCATTGTTGTTGGTGCCAGAGGAGATTCCTTCCTTCTCTACATCCAGGGGTCTTTTCTCCAATAATGTGCCTTTAACACCAGGAACATGGCTCCCAGACCTTAGGGAGACACCTTCTACCTGAGAGATCTCTTCCTTTCTAGAGCTCCTGTAATCTTCCCAGCAGGTTCTTGCTTTAGATGCACTGACCCCAAGACAGTGATGAAGACAGAGCCTGCCTCAGCTCTAGGCTGTGGAGATAGATGCTATCAGCCCCTGTTGTGGAGGACTCCCCAGCCTGTAGCCCACATTCCCATCCATGGGGCCATGGGGGTGGGGTGGGGAGTGTACCTTTTTCTTTCTTTCTTTCCTTCATTCCTTCCCTCCCTCCCTCTCCTTTTCTTTGTTTCTTTGTTTCATTCTTTGTTTTTCTTTTTTTCTTTTTCTTTTTCTTTCTCTGTCTCCCTCTATTTCTCTCCCCTGTCTCTCTCTCTCCCTCTCTCCCTTCTTTTCTTTTTGGTAGTTCTGTTTGTAAACTCTTGTAATAAGAGGTATGCCTTACCCTACTTGGAGCTGCCTAGGTAAAGGGTTGGGAGGTTCAGCTCTTCTTATAGCTGCTTTGTGTGCTGAGAGAACTGGTGTCCTGTTCAAACAAGATCCTGGTTTGAGAGCTGGTTTTATCTTTTCCTGCCTTCAAGCATCCTGCCTCCCAGATGAGCTACATGTGGTCTCCTACTTCCAAGCCAAGGCCAGTGGAGCTGAAATGGGAAAGAATAAGTTTAAACAGAAGGGTAAATTGGATTGCTTTGTGATCTCAGGCTTAGTGACTAGTTTTAATTGGTGGAGTTTCAATGTATAGGGAAGCCCAGCTGCTTTAGAAGAACGGCTGTTTATGGAGATTGTGCAGTTTACCAGAAGGGGTGTTTGGCAGGCCCATTAGTTAGAATCCTAATCCATACTGGAAAGCTTAAACCTTCACTCACTGGATGGCTTGTGACAAGCTAATTTCTCCATCCAAAACATAGGGAGACTACTTTATCCTTCCTTATATTCCAATTGTTTTAGATGAGTAAAGTGTCCTTATTTTTATAGGAAATATTTTTAATCCTCGTCTTCATTGCCTACTGTCTGTGTTTGTATTTTGGCAAAAATAACTTTTTCTAGAGGCAACAATTACCTCCTATCTAGATTATTTCAATTCAGTTCAACATACATTTATTGAGTCCTTTCTATATGCCAAATACTGTTCTAGGCACTGGAGCTGCCTGTTTGTCACAGAGTTTACAATCTGGTTGGGGAGACAGTGAACTTATTAAAATGAGTGAATTATATAGTATGTAGCAAGGTGATAAAAGCTCTGGAGAAATAAAAGCAGCGAAAGGGGATAAGGAGTGCTGAGTTGGATAGCCAGGGTAGGCCTCACCGAGAAGGTGATATTTAAACAAAGCAGTGCAGCTCTCTGAAGGAAAAGGCTACGCAGGTAGAATGATCTTCAAAGGCCCTGAGATGGAACTATGCCTGGAGTGTTTGAGGAGCTATGAGGAGGCCATGTGGGCGGGAGAAGTGAAGAAGGGAGAGAATGGTAGGAAATGAGGACAGGAAGGTGATGGAGACCAGATGTCGGCCTTGTACACCTTGTACTTTACACAGAGTAGGGATCTGTTGGTGAGCTTTGATCAGAAGAGTTCTGTGATCTGCTTTATGTTCTAAAAGACTGCTCTTCAATGTGGTGTTGTGAATGGACAGTGAGGAGTAGGGAAGGATGGGAAGTAGGGTGAGCAGTTGGGAGGCTACTGTAATGATCCACGCAAGAGATAATGGTATCCTGGACTGGGGTGGTTCCAATGGAGTGGTGAAAAATAGATTTTTTTTATAAGTCAGATTTTGAATATACTTGAACATGGAACAAATAAATTTTCTTGACTGATTGGATGTGAGGGTGTAACAAAGAAAAGCAAGTCAAGTTACTCCATGGTTTTTTGAACAATTGGAAGGATGGAATTCCCATTGACTGAAATGGGGAAGGCTGTTAGTGGAGTGGTAGTGGGTGGGAAAATTTGAGTTTAGTTTTGAACATATTAAGTCTATTAGTTGGAAAATTTCAAATGTACACAAAAATAGATTAGTTCAGTGAACCCCATCACCACTTCAGTAGCTACCATATCTATTGTTTTTTTACTCAAGTATTTTAAAACAAATTCTGGGCAACATACAATGTTATCCATAAATACCTTGGAATATATCTCTAACAAATCAGAACTTTTGTTTTTAACAAAACCACAGTACTTCACTAAGACCTGTCTGGATTAAGACAAATATGTACAGTATTGTATTTTTAAATATGGATTTTTTTTCCTAAAAGATAAACTAAGGGGATTACCTTATAAAATAATTATTCATTTCTTGCAAATAATTTGTTAAAAACTAGCTTGAAATATCTTGTGTATCTGGTACATAAACAATTTGATGTAGAGAAATTAAATTTACATCCAAATTTTTAGGCCAAGTATTGCATCAAACAATAATTAATCATTTTATGAGGAAGCATTATATGAAAATGTGTTCCCATCCTTGTGAGCATACAATCTAAGGGATTAGGAATGTGTAAACAGTTTTACAACAATTATTGCACAAAGTGTTGAGAGGATTTGGAGTGAACGGTCTGAGCAGTGCCTGGAATTTAGAGAATGTCTGGAAGGTTTGAGGATTTGTGCTTGTGTTTGGTTTTGCTTGCATGTGAGCATATATGTGTTTTACCTTTTTGGGAGGCGAGAAGGAGCTTATAAAATTTTCAAATATATAAAAGTAGAGAGAATGGCATACTAAACCCCCATACCCTGATCCCGCAGGTACAGTAGTTATCAACATTTTGTCGCACTGGTCTTACCTATTCCCTTTTAAATTTTGTCATTGATAGAGTTCTATATAAGCATTTTTTGAAATAATTTAAAATTTAAAGAAAAGTTGTAAGAACAGTACAAAGAACTCCCACGTACCTGTAACCCACATTCAACACTTTGTCACAACTGGTTTTATAATATTTTTCTGAACCATTTGAGAGTAAATTATAAATACCATCCCCCTTTTACCTTTAAGTAATGAAGTGTGAATTTCTTAAGAAAGAAAAGGTATTTAATTATGTAGCCATAGTATGATTAATGAAATCAGGAAATTCAACATTGATATAATACTATTAACTAATCTGCAGCCCATATTCAAATATTGCCAATTATTCTAGTAATGTTCTTTATACTAGTTTTTCTCCTAGTCTAGGATCCAACCCAAGATCATGCTTTGTGTTTGGTTGTGATGTCCTGTTAGCCTCCAATCTAGAACCATTCCTCATCCTTCCTTCCTTTTACAGTATCGATTGATACTTTGGGTATAACTGATTTTTTTAGTGATTTGAGTATAGCTGATGTTTGGGTATATCAGATTTTTCTGTGTGATTTGATTCAAATATACATTTTTGGCAGAAACACTGCCTAAGTGGTGATGTGTCCTCTTAGAATATCAAATCTGGAGACTGATGATTTTGCTTTTCCTCATTAGTGGTGAAGTTATCTGAGCACTTAGTTAAAGTGAACTAGGCAAATTTCTGTTGCTGCTTTTTTTTTAAACAGATTTTATATTTTAAAACAGTTTTAGATCTACAGAAAAACTGAGCAGATAGTACAGAAAGTTCATATATTACACCTAACCCCTAAACACAATTTCCCCTATTATTCACATCTTACATTTTTATGATACATTTTTTACAACTAGCAAACCAGTATTGATGTACAGTTAACCCTTGAAAAATGCAGGGTTCAAGGACACTGACCGCTGCGCAGTTGAAAATCTGAACATAACTTTACAGTCAACCCTCCGTATCCAAGGATTCAACCAACTGCAGATTGTATAGTACTACTGTAGGTATTTCTGAAAAAAATTCACATGTAAGTGGATCCATGTGGTTCAAACCTGTTGTTCAAGTGTGAGCTGTATTATCAACTGAAACCTGTATTTTATTAATATTTCCTTAATTCTTACCTAATGTCGTTTTCCTGTTTCAAGATCTCATTACACATTACATATAATTGTCTCCTTGGGCTCCTCTGACTGAAACAGTTTCTCAGAATTCTTGTTTTTGATGTCTTTGACAATTTTGAGAATTACTGGTCAGGTATTTTGTAGGAGGCATGTCTATAGGAATTTGCCTGATGTTTCTCATGACTAGATTGGAGTTACGAGTTTTGGAGAGGAAGATCACAAAAGTAAAATGCCATTTTTTATCACATATCAAGGGCATATATTACCTACATGATTTATGACTTGATGTTGACCTTGATCACCTGGCTGAAGTGGTGTTTGTCAGATTTTTCTACTGTTACTCCTTTTGCCTTACTTCACCTCCCTTTCCATACTTCTTTTGAAAAGAAGTCACTCTGCACAGTCCACACTTAAGGAATGGGGTGGGGATGTTATGCACCCCCTCCTTTAGGGCTACATACTTTATTTGGAATTTTTCTGTCTAGGAAATTTGTCTCTACTGCATTTATGAACATATCCAACCATTTATTTATACCAAGGACTCATGGATACTTGTTTTATACTTTGGGTTAGAAACCACTGTTACTTTTATTGCTCAGATTGTTCCACATTTGGTCATTGGGAGTTCTTTCAGTTAGCTCCTGTGACATACTCCCACCAATCTGGTTTTTTTGTTTTGTTTTAGGAACTACTGATGCTTCAGGCTTATTTTGACTGCTTATTTCCTGTCTCACTCCTAGAATCAGCCATTTCTCCAAGGAGCCCTGGTTCCTTCTAATGGAGAATGATATTAGAAACTAAGACCTGAATGATAAATGTGCTTGATGCTACTGGGGTGTTTGCTGTAATTTTTTAAAGCAAAAGCAAACACCTGGCATTATGTCATTTAATCCTTAAAAGTGTCTGTACAAAAATAAGGATACCTTTCCAAATAACTCAGATGTCAAAATACCCTGTGGCTGCCACAACAAATTACCACAAATTTCGTGACTTCAAACAATGGAAATTCTCCCACAGTTCTGGAAGCCAGAATTCCAAAATCAGACTGTCTGAAGAACCCCATTCCCTCAGAAAGTTCTAGGCAAGAATCCATTCTTGCCTCTTCCACCTTCTGGTAGCCTCAGGCATCTTGGCTTGTCTCCACATCACTCTGATCTCTGTCTCCTTGGTCACATTGCCTCTTTCTTTTTTCTGTGTCTTTTCTGTGTCTGTCCCATCTCCCTCTGCCTCACTAAGAACAGTGGTTATTGGAGTTAGGGACCATCCAAATAAGCCAGGAAAATTCCCTAATCCTTTCAAGATCATCCTCTCAAAATCCTTAATCACATATTTTGCCATATAAGGGAATATTTACACATTCCTGGATTGAGGATATATGGGGGGATTCCCATTCAGTAAACTATAATAACTAACAAAATTAATAATGATTTCTTAACATTAACTATGTTTTTAATGTCTTCAGTCCATATGCAGATTTGTCTGTTGTCTCAAAAATTCTTTTTACAGTTCATTTGTTTGACTCTGGATCCAAACAAGTTCCACTCATTGCATGTGATTATGTCTCTTAAATCTCTTATGATATAGAACACCTCACTATTTTTTTATACTCTGAAATTGTTGAAGAAACAAGGTGATTCATCTATACACTGGCCCACATTCTGCAATTGTCAGATTGCTTTCTTATGGTGGTGTTTCTCTTTGTTTCCTATAAACTGGAAACATAAGCCAAAACTTGATTAGGTTCAGATTCAACAGATTTTTAGACAAAAATACACTATGTAAATATTACTGTGTAGTTCATGTTGCATCACATCAAGAGACAATTTATAGCTATCCCACATTTCATGATCTAAAATTGAGTAAAATATACAAGTGATGGCAAACATCCTTTCAGTGTAAAATTCTCTCATCAGTCCTCTAATGATTTTAACATCCATCAGTGACTGTTGCCTAAATCAATTATTTAGTAAGCATCCTTGCTCTGGTCCAGATTGTTTTCTTTAAATTAGTTTCATCTTTTATTGTCCCTTTCATTTCTGTAGCCAACTGTTTAGAAAAGCTTTTTTCATTCTCCAGCTCTCTTTACATCTCCAAATCCATTAGGTGTAGGGACATCTGAGGCTGAGGGGGCACTATCTATCTTGTCTGGGGAAATAATTGAGACAGTGTTTCTAAAAATTCCCACTTGAAGCCCAGAAATCAGGTGGTTGTAATTGTAGCCTGCCAGGTGTGTTAGGGTTAGGGGAAGGTGGGTTGAGGGAAGCATAGCGGATCTGGCAATCTCCCCTTTCCTGAAGTCAAACTCAAAGGACTTTACTGGAAAGAATTTTAAGAAAATTCTTTAATAAAACTTGAGCTCTTTAATTTTAGAGGAGCGAATTAAGGTATGGACAAAGAAAGAGTCCATATGGCTTAAGTGGAATCAGGTTATAGACAGTCCTGGAATGCCAGAAAGGAGCCTTTTAGGAATTTAATTGCGAGACTACATCTCCCAGAATCCCGCTCTGTAGGTTCCACCGTCATTGAAGCGACTGCGCGTG